AGGCGATTAGTTTATGTTCGAAATTATTTGTATTTGCAGTACGTAAGAGAGATGGATTTAAATCATGGAAAGTGAGTAGAGTTAAAGGAGAGTTCGTACGACTTTATGGGACGTGTGTAAAGTCCAGTCTGTTCATGAACAGTCTTTGGCAGTAGAATTAACGAGCAATTGGCCGTTGTTTTTGAGAAAATACATAATTTAAAAAAATATCAAATTGATCATTATCAAAACGAAATAATACTCTGGGTTATTTTAAGTTATCAGAAAGATATTCCAAAGATGAAATTAATACAAAATACAGCTGTTTTTGAGGTCACTAACTGACTATACAACAATACAGAACTGTATTTTTTCTATATATTAAGGAAGAGAGACTTGAAGATCAGATACTTACCGCAAGCTTGGCTCACACACAAACACACACACACACTCACACACACACACACACATACACACACACACACACACACACCACACACACACACACACACACACACACACACACACACACCACACACACACACACACACACACACACACACACACACACACACACACGGATAGTCGTTACTTCAACCATTCTTAGGGTTCTTCCGGTGTTTTGTGAAGTGGTAGAGAGGAGAAGCAACCGGCGAAGGAAGGGGAAGGGATAGAATATTGGGATGGGAAAATGTAAGTAGAGAGGACGAGAAAGGAGGAAGAGAGACAGGGGGAAGTGTAGTCAATTAGAAAAAAATAAGGGAATAGAAGATTGAGGAATAACGTATGCAGGAAATGGCAGAATGAAAGAGAATGGAAGAGGAAAGAGAGATAGAGGGAATAACGAAGAAGGAGCAAGGAAAAAAAAGAGTAAAAAAAATGTGAACCAAGAATAAGTTATTATTTCACTTGAAGAAATTAAAAGAACGAATGGAGAAGAGAAAGAATGAACTAAGATCAAAGAAAACAGAAGAACTGAATTACAAAATTTACAAGTAAATAAATTATATTTAATTAACAAATAAATTACAAAAAAGGAGAGAAGAGCAAGAATATAATTAAGAATAGGAAGAAAACAAAGGAAGAATGAACAAAGATAACTGAGAAAGAGGAAGAGAAGAATAATAACAAAGCCCTTTACTCTCTATCTTGAGGTTATCTTGAGATGATTTCGGGGCTTTTTTTTTTAGTGTCCCCGCTGCCCGGTCCTCGACCAGGCCTCCACCCCCAGGAAGCAGCCCGTGACAGCTGACTAACTCCTAGGTACCTATTTACTGCTAGGTAACAGGGGCATTCAGGGTGAAAGAAACTTTGCCCATTTGTTTCTGCCTCGTGCGGGAATCGAACCCGCGCCACAGAATTACGAGTCCTGCGCGCTATCCACCAGGCTACGAGGCCCCCCTCTACTGAGCAAACAAAACACAGGCAAACAATACAAACAATGAAACACCAAACAAAGGACAATATTTACACTCAAACAACAGTCAAGAAAATTACACGAAACAAAGTTTTAAAAACGTTTGTGAAAACAAAGCTAAACAGGATAAAAAAAAAATATCCAGGAAACAAACAGTAACGTCAACAGAGGCAAACAGGGGAACAATCTACGTATTTAACAGAACTTAATACTGCAAACAGAACAACAGAACCAACAGAAGAGAGAGTGAAAGATTAATAAAGATAAACGCAATATGGGAAAATAAGATAAAACTAAGGGGTGGAAAAACGAGGTGAAAATGAGATTAAACGATGGTGAATGACACAAAACGAGGATAAATTGTATTAAATGAGGGAATAACTGTCAAACTAGGGGTAAGTGACATCAAACTAGGGGTAAGTGACATCAAACTAGGGTAAAATGCCTCCAAACAAGGGGAAAATGACTCCAAACTAGGGGAAAATGCCTCCAAACAAGGGGAAAATGACTCCAAACAAGGTGAAAATGACTCCAAACAAGGGGAAAAAAAGTCTCCAAATAAGGGGAAAATGGCTCTAAACAAGGGGGGAAATGGCTCCAAACAAGGGGAAAATGGCTCCAAACAAGGGGAAAATGGCTCCTAACAAGGGGAAAATGGCTCCAAACAAGGGGAAAAATGACTCCAAACAGGGGGAAAATGACTCCAAACAGGGGGAAAATGACTCCAAACAAGGGGAAAATGGCTCCAAACAAGGGGAAAATGGCTCCAAACAAGAGGAAAATGGCTCTAAACAAGAGGAAAATGGCTCTAAACAAGAGGAAAATGGCTCCAAACAAGAGGAAAATGGCTCCAAACAAGAGGAAAATGGCTCCAAACAAGGGGAAAATGGCTCCAAACAAGAGGAAAATGGCTCCAAACAAGAGGAAAATGGCTCCAAACAAGGGGAAAATGGCTCCAAACAAGGGGAAAATGGCTCCAAACAAGGGGAAAATGGCTCCAAACAAGGGGAAAATGGCTCCAAACAAGGGGAACTACTTCAAATGAGATACTGTCAAACTAATGGGTTAGTGGTTGTTAACAATAAGATAATCCGCTGCCATTAGTGTGAAAAGGAATGGTTCCAAACAAGGGGGAAGGTGTAATTAGCGTGCAAACAAAGGGTTAATGGTGATTAGCGGAGCAGGTAAGTCGTTAGGGTACGTCAGACTCTATTGTGGTATGCAACTTTTATTTAAGGTGAGCTAAGAAAAATGAACTGGCACACTCCCTCTCTCTCTCTCTCTCTCTCTCTCTCTCTCTCTCTCTCTCTCTCTCTCTCTCTCTCTCTCTCTCTCATACCTAGTAATCTCTCACATTTTCCCATTATTGTTCATTATTCTTCGTTTCTTCATAGTGTGACCCATTTATTACTCATTCTCACTCATTTCCTCTCGCTTATTATATTCGCTCATTGTTCCTTGTCACTCACTCTCCTTCGCGTGTCAGTCACTCATTCAGTCAACTGGTCAGTCACTCTATTATTCTACTTCCTGGGATTAACTTAGATTCCTCTGTTCAAGTTTACCAAAGATTTTATGTGAGGTTATCTTGAGATGATTTCGGGGCTTTAGTGTCCCCGCGGCCCGGTCCTCGACCAGGCCTCCACCCCCAGGTAGCAGCCCGTGACAGCTGACTAACACCCAGGTACCTATTTACTGCTAGGTAACAGGGGCATTCAGGGTGAAAGAAACTTTGCCCATTTGCTTCTGCCTGGTGCGGGAATCGAACCCGCGCCACAGAATTACGAGTCCTGTGCGCTATCCACCAGGCTACCAGGCCCCCCTGGTAGCCTGGTAGCCCCCTGGTAGCCTCCCTGGTAGCTACCAGGCCCCTAGTAGTGAAGTTCCAAGTTTACATAAGTTCAAAAAATAAGTTTTATAAGTTCATAAGTTCTGTTTCAAGTTCACATAAGACTAAAACTGAACCGTGTGATCTAAATGGGGTTGTGTTCTAGCTCCCGGTCCAGATTCAGTGGTCCAGGTACAGGTGGTCCACGTCCCCGGTGGTCCAGGATATTTGGGCCCTGTGGGGTGTGTGAAGGAACGGTTTGAACGGTACCTGTCCTCGTCTCGTGGGACGGTACCTGTCCTCGTCTCGTGGGACGGTACCTGTCCATCTTTCTCTGGCACGGTAACTATCCCCGTCTCTCCCTGAGGGACAGTACCTGTCCTCCTCTCCCTCTGGGGTCGGTAATTGTTCCTGTCTAACTCTAGGAGGCTATCTTTGTCCACTAATGGGACAGTACTTCAAGCAATCCTTTGGTTGACTCTGTTCCTTTTCATGTGTGCACCTTTTTGCTGTTCACCTGTATGTGTGTATGTGTGTGTGTGTGATGCTCACACACACACATACATCCCAGACAAGGCAGTGTCTGGGATGCTCCCGGACGCAGGTTCGAATCCTCGTCACGGCCCTTGTGGATTTGTTCGTGTGTGTGTGTGTGTGTGTGTGTGTGTGTGTACTTGTCCCTCCCCTACCCTGCATCTTAGATGAAACTACATAACACAGGCTAACATTTGTTGCACAGCTGCTCTGCATCGCAAGCCAGACTCCCAAGAGTTGCAAATCAACTTGAATCCCCATTTCCAACATCATTACGAACCATAACATCTTCAAAATCCTCCTCCTTACACATAACAATATTCACCATCCCTTCATCACCACTCTATATTTCTCTACATCAATTTAGCTGTCAATTTCTATATTTATTTACGGGTCTATTGATCCAGGACGAACCACAAAGGACCCAAAGAGTTCTTGGACGAATGAAAAGCCTTGTAACACGCCTCGTCTGCCACGAACCATCACACTCTCTCAAGATCAACACAAGATGACACAGCTAGAATAAACGAAGGAACTGGACGGTTCCCGGAGAACCGGTCGTTCGAGGAGGTCCTTCAAGCAGGTGGTTCAGCTCCTCGAAGGTGAGAAGATGGGAAACGCAGAGCAGCTCAATGGCCCTTGGGGCTGTAATGTGGGTCAATGGCCCTGGGGACTGTTATGTGGGTCAATGGCCCTGGGGGCTGGTATGTGGGTCAATGGTCCTGGGGGCTGGTATGTGGGTCAATGGTCCTTGGGGCTGGTATGTGGGTCAATGGCCCTGGGGGCTGGTATGTGGGTCAATGGTCCTGGGGGCTGTTATGTGGGTCAATGGCCCTGGGGGCTGGTATGTGGGTCAATGGTCCTGGGGGCTGTTATGTGGGTCAATGGTCCTGGGGGCTGTTATGTGGGTCAATGGTCCTGGGGGCTGTTATGTGGGTCAATGGCCCTGGGGGGGCTGCTATGTGGCCCAATGGCCCTGGGGGCTGATATGTGGCCCAATGGCCCTGGGGACTGCTAAACAACACAATCAATCCTAATTCGAACCAGTGCCAAGGGTCATCCCTTAAGTGACATACCCTCATTCATTTAACCCCCCCCCCCCCAAGCACTACGAATATAATTACCACTACACAAACACGAATTAAACGACACACACATATAACCAGTTCACGTGACGCTCGGGGATCGAACTTCAGGTCACGCTCGGGGGATCGAACTTACCTTCCTGTGAGTGACGAGGAGGCTGAGGGAACCTTGTCTTAGCGCGTTCGGTTTAAGTGGGCGACGAACCACTGCCAACCACCTCACCCACGTTCGGAACTAGCGTCGTTGCCTGGTGCTGGATTCTCCTTTATTGCTTGATAAACAATCATAGTACGTTTGTTTGTCTTACTCAGCTGTAGCGGTCAAGTTGTTTGTGTTCAAGGTGGATATATTGTCGCGCTAATCACAGAACTACGATCACTAACAAGGGGTGGTGACTTAATGGTGTGGCTCGCGGGGGTAAAGGGTCGACATGTGTTTCGTCTGCTTCAGGTGATCTGTTCGTGACGCAAGTGAAGCTCGCCGGTGCTTCACTCAATCCGTCCTCACATTAGGCTGGTTAAAGCAGCCTGTCCAGATAACCCGTGCTCACACTACAGCCCGTCCTCCAAACAAAGATCCAAAAGTCATTCCATCCACCCGCCAAACCCCAGCTGTTTATGAATAAAAAGCGGTTTACACACGACTCACAACTGCTGACGTTCGAACACTTCCGGAACAAGTGCTTCACTGACGACTGGTGTTCGAACCACAACACTGTAAATGCTTCACCCACGTACTACAAATACAAATAATCGCCAACAGAACCTAAACACCTAACCTAACCTATGCCTAACTATTCAACACATTCTACTCCAAAAATAATAATGTTACCGTGTACAGTATTTAAGAAAATAACTATTTTTGAATGCGCTTAAAATTGAAGATTGTGTGTTTGGGATCCGGCGGACGTTTAACGACCCGAGCCTGAGGACAGGCTGGAGTCGTTTGTAAAGAGCAGTTCAACCATTAACTCGAGGATTAGTGACGGGATTAATGACCATTTGACCTTTTGTTTACAAATACGGGCTGCGTATAAGCTCTCGATATTATGACACTAACGTAAAAAATCCTTTTGAAGTCAAAACGCAAAAATATTTAATGCTATGTTGACTATTGGACTTTTAAATAGTTCCCAAACCTATATATACACTCTCGATAATGTTTGAAATTCGTGAAAGAACACAAAGTCCACTACGGGCTCACCATAGCCCGTGCTACTTGGAACATTTTGTTCCAAGTAGCTTAATCTAAAACAACAACAACACCGTGAAACAATAGACAGCTAGAGCCTTCAAATGCAATTTTCGACTTTCGTTTATTCAACTATTGAAAGACTTTATTATTAAATTGGACTCGTGGCCCCTAAATTGGGACTCGTGGCCCCCCTAAATTGGGACTCGTGGCCCCCTAAATTGGGACTCATGGCCCCCTAAATTGGGACTTGTGGCCCCCTAAATTGGGACTCATGGCCCCCTAAATTGGGACTCGTGGCCCCCTAAATTGGGACTCGTGGCCCCCTAAATTGGGACTCGTGGCCCCTAAATTGGGACTCGTGGCCCTAAATTGGGACTCGTGACCCCCTAAATTGGGACTCGTAGCCCCCTAAATTGGGACTCGTGGCCCTTAAATTGGGACTCGTGGCCCCCTAAATTGGGACTCGTGGCCCTTAAATTGGGACTCGTGGCCCTTAAATTGGGACTCGTGGCCCTTAAATTGGGACTCGTGGCCCCTAAATTGGGACTCGTGCCCCCTAAATTGGGATTCGTGGCCCTTAAATTGGGACTCGTGGCCCTTAAATTGGGACTCGTGGCCCTTAAATTGGGACTCGTGGCCCTGATTACCATAACCAATGGTCCTGAGAAGCAGGACCAGTAGCCCTGAAAAATAGGACCCATTTGCCCTAGGAAACGTGACCTTTGACCCTGAAAAACAAACTGGGGTACAGGGTCAGGTCCTGGGGTACAGGGTCACGTCCTGGGGTACGGAGCCACGTCCTGGGGGCAATGTGGGACGGGTAGAGAGCCACGTCCTGGGGTATAGAGCCACGTCCTGGGGCATTGTGGGACGGGTAGAGAGCCACGTCCTGGGGCATTGTGGGACGGGTACAGGGCCACGTCCTGGGGCATTGTGGGACGGGTACAGGGCCACGTCCTGGGGGCATTGTGGGACGGGTAGAGAGCCACGTCCTGGGGTATAGAGCCACGTTCTGGGGCATTGTGGGACGGGTAGAGAGCCACGTCCTGTGGTATAGAGCCACGTCCTGGGGCATTGTGTGACGGGTACAGGGCCACGTCCTGGGGGCATTGTGGGACGGGTAGGCTGGAAGGAACAGGAGAACGGTCGGCTGGAACACCCGTCAACTCGACCGCGTAATCCAGGATCTGTCGGGGCCGCCACCGGCAGAGAAGGACGGCTCCCTCTCTCTCACACACACTGTTCCGGAACCCGGTGGAATGGTTAGAATGTCACTGGGGATGTTTGGCATTCTTCACGCTGGCCCTTGCTGCTGCTACCGCCTTAATACGCTCATAAATCCTTCTTAGACGTTACGGTTCATCGTCTGAAGAAGCGGAGTTGTTAGAATGAACAAAACCTCATCTCAACGAACACTTTTACCTTAAGACCAGCACTTTAGGGAAGTTTCCCCTGAAATCTA